AGAAGAGGGTGAATGAGCTCAAGATCTCAGATCTTATCTCTGCACAATCAGCAGAGCCCAAAAGACGTTAAACAAGCCACTAGGTTAAATAACACAAAATAATGCCACTTTACTAAGACCTCAAGTTATCACAGAATATCCAGTTCATTATATGCCCATTGCAACTAATATGACGTCTAAATATTTTCAGCAAGCAGAATACTCAAATATCTAATTTCCGATAGCAGTTTCTATTACATTGCCATCTTTGCTTCCAATCATCAGCTCCACACTAATTAGAACCCAAAAGAATTATAGCTTGCTGCATTGCATTAGTCCTTTCTATTAACACGTGGACAGTTGATGTGAAGACATCAAATGGTGGCTAGAATTCAGAAAAAGAAAATTTCCCCACCATGAGCATTGATAGAAATCCCAGACTCCACAAAGAAAACTTCACAATGTCAATTCAGTAATCTAAGAAAATGTAATTTCATATTTCACCACCGAATGCAAAATATTCTTGAAAACTCAATAAGTTCCGAAGATGTAAACATATCCACCATATTCCTAGATCATACACTGATGAGGTGCCGATGCCATCAAGGAGTGTTGCATCGACACTATTTCACCAAACTATTAAACCGTTGATCTTCAACTGCAAAGTTTATCTGGTTAACCTGTGTAGCCGGGCATAATTTCAAGACTAAGCAACTCAACGATATTAAGCACTTTCTTCCTTGTGCCCGCGATCTAGGCATAACAGAGATAATACAATAATGTATTCGAGTAACCACAATCATTCAACTTCAGCAAAAACATAAGCATTAAATAACAGAGATATCAAAGAAATATCCTGTATTATTAAAACTAAGAACACGTACAGAACTCAACGTTAAAGTCAAAAGCATAAGAAATTCCAAATTTAACTGATGGAGGAAGAAGTAAACATCTTTGAGGAAGCCCAAAACCGACTGACCTCTGCTAGATTGAAGAAATAAAGGGAATACTACTATAACCCCCTCTTTGCCGATTCTCTTCAATACTTTTGCAATTAAATCCACACCCGCATTGTGGGCTTTCGTAGAAATTGTTGATCCCAAATTCAGCAGATAAAATTCCCACGGAGAACTCAAGTTTATCCCCATTCCTCTTGACCTCATCGATGTTGAGCCAAAGAAAAAGGACTTTGACACTGACCCCAGAAAGGCTGGTAAGCTTGTCTTTAGAGATGTACCCACTGATTTTCGACTTGTACCTCAATTGATACGAACCTTCAATTGAGAAACTGCACGAACTATTGAAATACGCACTGAATTTGCCGTTGGCTCTATTTATTTCATAGTGGGTCACGCCCACTGGAAGGATGCCCACCGGGAAGTCGTAAGCCTGAAGAACATCGTAGGCCGTCAGAGGAGTGTTTCCGCCGTCGTCTGCAGTTGCAATTAGCGGTGGTGCGGTAGCGAGAAAAAGGGAGATAAAAATGCAGATTCGCTGTGTCGTTGACATATTGTTGTTTCGACACCGAATTTTGTGATAATTTCCGTGGGTTGAAGAAAGGGAATTGGGGAAGACAGCGATTTTGTGAGTATATTATTAATTTTCTTGAATGAACTGAATACAGGCCAATTCGATGATACATATGAATCCATTTTCTTCGCAAAATGCCCGAATTTGGTGTATTTTCTTGAATTCAGCGACCAAATCGAATATTCCAACGATATTTTGATCGATGATACATATGAATCCATTTTCTTCGCAAAATGCCCGAATTTGGTGTATTTTCTTGAATTCAGCGACCAAATCGAATATTCCAACGAAATTTTGATCGTAAATGATCAAGTAGTTATGTACTGCTTTGAATAGTTACTTGCCAGGAAAAAAAAAACCCAAATGATTTTCCGTCCATTTGATTAGTTTAAATTTCATGGAAAATATCACATTTGAGGAATTTAATTTCTACTTTGACTGTTTGATACGTAAGTGAAAATATAGTTCGAATTCCAAGATACCCTCACTTTAAATTTGTTTTTTGTCAATTTCATTGAAGATGCAATCATATGGGGTACTTGAATTTTTCTAACTTACATGAAATTGGATAATCTTTCCACTTTTGCCAATTAAACGGACTCTTAGGGAAAAAGTCAAGTTGAGAAAACAGAAATTATCAAATACAAAGATTCTTAAAATATATTAAGAATTTCTAAGTGTTATTTTTTTGTGTATATTCACTATTGATTTTGTGCACTTACCCCCTCTTTGATAACTATTATTTTAAAATTCTTTTAATTGTCGTACTTATTTTCAATTATATATTTATACAATAAAATATTTTACACGTACAGTAAAAACTTTTCTATACTTTTAATCAATCAGTCTTCAAAGAATCACTATTTAAATTTCTATTTTCTCGAAATAATGGCCTTCAAACATGGACTTATTGGCCCTAAAAGATTTATTTTTAAAAACAAATTACCTTATTCAAATATAGGAAATTAAAAACTCCCCTCCGCTGTTGAATTATTCGAGGAGCCCTAACTTGATATATTGAAATTTATCTATTTAGCCCTTGTTTGAAAACCATTAAATGAGAAAAATCATGTTTTGAATGGTAATTTTTAGGAGAATGTGTAATTAAAAAGTAGAAAAAAAATTTGCATTTAGGTGCAGCATATTTTATTACATGAATGTATGATTAAAAAGTACGTAAAAGAAAAAGAGTTTCAAAAAAATAATTGTCAAATAAGGGCTTAATTTAGAGAACATGTTACATGTACAAAAAAATTCACAAAAATCATACAGATGAACACTTGACAGATTATCATTGAAAGATGATAAAAAAAATATAAATAAATAAATAAATAAAGGGTTGTGCTATTCATCCAGGCACAATTGTCCCAACTCAAAAAAGGTACACGTGGGAAGCACTTATTTTTGTCTTTTTCCTTTATTTTTTGGTTAAATCAAGGTTTTCTATTCCTAATATAGAATGAGTTTGGTTTATTTTTCCTAATAAATAAAAAATTCAATTATACTCGTATTTATCTATA